GCGTCGGGCCCAGCCGCTGCTTGGAAATTAAGAAGGGAAGAGGGGAAAAAAAAAAAACCCTCTGGCAACACGAGAGACTGACAGGTCAGGAAAACAACCTGGTTATTGAGTGGGGTCGAAGGAAAAGGGTTTCGGGCTGAGCCCGACGCAGGGGTCTCTACAGCGAGGCGGCATGCTGGAAGCCCGGTGAGGGGCCAGGACTCGCACCGCGGGCTGCTCAGGGGCAAAGAACTGGGAAGACGAAGGGAAAAACCACGTGGGGCAGGGTTAGGGTCTCTACGAGACCCAGATTTCTCTTTAGAGAGGGGAGAAGTGAGGAATACCCGGCAGCGGGGTCAGCGCAGGTGCACACTGCTCTGCCCCTGCGGGTGCCCCGGCCGCACCACGTGGATTTTGCAGAGCTTCGATTTCCCCCCATCCCATCCCATCCCATCCCATCCCATCCCCAAGCCCTCCCGCCGCTGCGACACTCACTTCCGGACATCCTTGCTCATTAATTACGGTGTAATTGGCCTTAGTTATTAGCAGGCACCACTGACTCCCCCCCAGCCCGGCAGGCTGGAGGCCAGGGCACCCGTCGGGAGCTCGCTTGCTCCCTCTGCACCCCAGCCGGCTCCCAAACCTCCCCTATTTTCTCCAAACCACCCGGTGAGCCGGCAAAGTCGTTTCCGAGCGAGTGCTTGGCCCCGCTGGGGCCGGCACCGCTCCCAGTCCCCCACCTCCCGCGCCGCCCCAGTGCTGCGGCCGGGTTCCGCCAGGATGATGGGAGCAGGCGATGCCTCGGCCGTGCCCTGCGCCCAGCCACTGCCTCCCAGCGTCCCGCTCCATTTCCAGCCTCCGACGCCTCCGTTCCTGCCTGACCCCGTTCCGGGGACATCCTCTCATCTCCTCCGTGCCGCTGGGACCAGCGCATCGGTGCGAGACGTTATTAGCTGCGCTTCCCAGGGGCAGCGGCACGCCAGCGCCCAGGGAGGGCTCGCAAAGGCACCTTCGCCTAACGAGGCCGACGTCTCCGCAGGCACAGGGAGGGAACAGGCGTCTCGCGGGGGCTCAGAGCCACGGGTACCCGCTGCCTCCGGACATCCTCCGGCCGGGCCAGCCGCCGCCTCCCACCCAAGAGCAGGGAAACGCGGGTGGGGAGAGGGTCCCTTCGCCCACGCGCCGCCGCGGGGCCGTCCAAAGCCGCTCAAGACAAGCCGAGCATGTCCGGGGGGCGGCTGGTCGCGCACGACACAGGGAAGCCGGCCAGCGGCTGGCGGCGGGGGGGGGACCAGCCATTCTGCCAGCATCCCGCCGCCTGGGAGGAGCGGCCGTCCCCCCGGGAGGCGATGGATGGGGCACGTCTCCACGTCCTCTCGCCTCTTGCTGGCTCCGTGGCTCTCGGGTGCCGCTTGCGCCACGAGCCTGAACCAGCACCAAACCTCCGCCGAAGCGCCCGCAGCAACGGTGACTTCCCAGTGCTCCCAGTTTGGGACGTTTCTCCGCACAATGGCACTGAATTCCCAGTTGTCCGGAGTTTCTCATACCGGCTCCTTGCCCACACCAGAGCAGACTGCCCAGCACCAGGATCGGCTTCGGCAAAGCCGACAAACACCCAGAAGCGCGCGGGCTCCCAGCAGGGAAGCTGCTCTCCTGGCGGGGACATCTCAGCTGTGGGGCAGGGTCAGGCCCTGTCACATCCATCCGTAGCATCCCCCGGGGCAGGAACCATCTCCCATCCCAGCCGTGAGCCCGTGACAAGCTTCTTCAGCCTCTGGTCCCAGGATTCAGGTTTCACAGACAGCCTCCGTAAGAAAAATTTGGGAAGAGCAGATAAAGCAG